AGGAAATTTTATACTAATACAAGCTTACCTCAGGAAATAAGAAAATCTTAAGTAAATAACTTAGCTTTTTACCTAAAGCGTCTAGAGAAAGAAGAACAAACAAAACTCAAGGTTAGTAGAAGAAAAGAAATCATAAAGATCAGAGCAGAAATAAATGAAACAGAGACTAAAAAAATTGTAAAAATCAATGAAACGAAAACCTGTTTTTTTGAAAAAGTGAAAAAAAATTGATTAACCTTTAGTTAGACTTACCAAGAAAAAAAAAGGAAGAGGGCTTGAATCAATAAAGTCAGAAATGAAAAAGGAGAAGTCATAACTGACACCACAGAAATGCAAGGGGTCATAAGAGGCTACTATGAGCAACTATATACCAACAAAAAGGACAACCTAGAAGAAATGGAAAATTTCTTAGAAAGGTACAATTTGTCAAGACTGAATCAGGAAGAAATAGAAAATATGAATAGATCAATTACCAGCACCGAAATGGAGTCAGTAATTAAAAAGCTCCCAACAACAAAAGTCCAGGACCAGAAAGCTTGACAGGTGAATTCCACCAAATGTTTAAAGAAGAGTTGACGCCTCTCCTTCTGAAACTATTCCAAAAATTGAACAGGAAGGAACACTTCCAAACTCATTCTGTGAGGCCACCATCACCCTGATACCAAAGCGAAAAACAAAGATATCACAAAAAAAGAAAATTATAGGTAAATATCATTTGTGAATATAGATGCAAGAATTCTTAACAAAATACTAGCAAATATACTCCAAATGATTATACACCATGGTCAAGCGAGGCAAAGCAATCAATGTGATACAGCACATTAACAAACTGAAGAATAAAAACTGTTTGATTATCTCAATAGATGCAAAAAAAAAAAGCTTTTGGTAAAATTCAACATCCATTTATGATAAAAACTCTCCAGAAAGTGAGCATAGAGGGAACATATCTCAACACAATAAAGGCCATATATGACCAACACATAGCTAACCTCATACTTAATGGTGAAAAGCTGAAAGCATTTCCTCCAAAATCAAGAACAAGACAAGGATGCACATTCTTGCCACTTCTATTCAATATAGTTCTGAAAGTCCTAGCCATAGAAATCAGCGAAGAAAAAGAAACAAAGGGAATTCAAATCAGAAAAGAAGAAGTAAAACTGTCACTATTCCCAGATGACAGGATACTATACATAGAAAATACTAAAGAAGCGACAAGAAAACTACTAGAGCTCATCCATGAATTTGGTAAAGTTGCAGGGTACAAAATTAATATACAGAAATTAGTTTCATTTCTATGCTAACAATTAAATAGCAGAAAAAGAAATTAAGGAAACAATTCCATTCACCATCACACCAAACAGAATAAAATACCTAAGTATATACCTACCCAAAGAGGCAAAGGACCTGTACTACGAAAACTGTAAGGCACTGATGAAAGAAAATGAAGACAACATAAAGAGATGGAAAGATGTACCATGTTCTTGAATGACAGAATCAATATTGTTAAAATGGCCATACTACCCAAGGCAATATACAGATTCAGTGCAATCCTTATTAAATTACCAATGACATTTTTCATGGAGCTGAAACAAAAAATGTTAAAATTTGTATAGAAACACAAAAGACCCCAGACAGCAAAAACAGTCTTGGGAAAAGAGAACAGAGGTGGAGAAATCATGCTCCTTGACTTAAGACTATACTACAAAGCTACAGTAATCAAAACAGTATTGTACTGGCACAAAAACAGACACATAAATCAATGGAACAGGACAGAAAGTCCAGAAGTAAACCCACACACTTATGGTTAATTAAGCTACGACCAAGGAGGCAAGAATATTCAATGGAGAAAAGACAGTCTCTTCAACAAGTGGTGCTGGGAAAACTGGACAGCTACCTGTAAAAGCCTGAAATTAGAACATTCTCTAACACCGCAACAAAAATAAACTCAAAATGGATAAAAACCTAAATGTAAGACCAGATACTATAAAACTCCTAGAGAAAAACGGGCAGAATACTCTTTGACATAAATCACAGCAATATTTTTTTCAAACAAGCTCTTAGAATAAGGGAAATAAAAGCAAAAATAAACAAGTAGGCTCTAATTAAACTTAAAAGCTTTTACACAGTTAAGGATATCATCAACAAAACAAAAAGACAACCTACAGAATGTGAGAAAATATTTGCAAATGATATGATCAAAAACGGACTAATTTCCAAAGTATACAAACAACTTGTGCAGCTTAATTTCAAAAAACAAGCAACCCAATAAAAAAAATGAGCAGAAGACCAATGTAGACATCTCTCCAAAGAAGTCATCCAGATGGCCAACAAGCACGTGAAAAGATGCTCAACATCACTAACTGTTAGAGAAATACAAATCAAAACTACAATGAGCTATCACCTCACACCAGTCTGAATGGCCTTCTTAAAAAGTCCACAAACAATAAATGCTGGAGAGAGTGTGGAGAAAAAGGAACCCTCCTACACTGTTGGTAGGAATATAAATTGGTGCAGTCATTATGGAGAACAGTATGGAGATTCCTTTAAAAACTAGTGAGAGTTACCATATGATCCAACAATCCCAATCCTGGACATATGTCTGCAGGAAAATGTAATTTAAAAAGACACATGCACCCCAATGTTCACAGCAGCACTATTTACAATAGCCAAGACATGGAAACAACCCAAATGTCCATCAACAACTGACTGGATAAAGCAGATGCGGCATATACATATACATATACATATACATATACATATACACATATATAATGTAATACTAGTCAGCCATAAAAAAGAATAAAATAATACATTTGCAGCAGCATGAATGGACCTGGAGATTGTCATTCCAAGTGAAGTTAGCCAGGAAGAGAAAAAAAAATGTCATATGATAATGCTTGTATGCAGAATCTGAAAAAGGGGACACAAATGAACTTATCTATAAAATAGAAACAGACTCACAGACATAGATAACGAACTTGTGGTTACCAGGGGTTAAAGGGGATGCAAAGGGATCAATCAGGAATTCTAAATTTGCACCTCTTGGGGAGTGATGGAGATGTTAGCTATCTTTATTGTGGCAGTGGTTTCATTGGTGTACACATCTATCAAAATTCTTCAATTAAACATCTGAAATATATGTAGTTTACTGTACAGGAATCATACCACAATAGAGATGTTTGAAAAAAAAGAAAAAAAAAGAAAGAAAAGAAATGAGGACTGTTTAAGAGACCTTTGGGACATCATCAAGTACACTCTTTTTCACATTATAGGGGTCCCAGAAGGAAAAGAGAAAGAGAAAGGTGCTAATAATATATTTGAAGACATCATAGCTGAAAACTTTCCTAACCTGGGAAAGGAAACAGTCATCCAAGTCCAGAAAGAGCAGAGAGATCCATATAAGATTAACCCAGAGAGGAGCACACTAACACATTGTGATTAAATTGACAAAAAGATAAAGAGAAAATATTAAATGCAGCAAGGGAAAAGTAATGAATAACATACAAGGGACCTCCCTTAAGGCTATGAGCTGATTTTTTAGCAGAAGAATCTTCCAGGTAATTCTGACGCATGCTAATACTCAGAAAACCTAACGTAGACTGTAACTACTTCGACAAAAATCACAAAGTCAAATATTGAAAACAAAGATCAATAGTTGCATTAAAGCTTTCATTTTCCTTCTAAAAATTACCTTCTTATTGATACTAACAGGTATGGCCACTGTTGAACTGACTGTCCTAGTCCTCAAGTGCAATATTTGCCTATAATTTGTGAAGAAACAGACTGTCCTAGAGTTGGAAAGGATGCTCAGTAAGCTGAATGAGAAATGAGAATGGTATATAATTGAGAACAAATAAATTACTGCCATTCTTCAAATTGAGATATATTAGGAGTTCTATTTCCCCTTGGCATAGAAAGCTGAGACTAGTGTTGCTAGCAAGAAAACCAAGCAAGAAGACCCATGTAAACTAAAAAATAATGTTCTGGACACATCAAAGAGCTGAAGTCACTAGTCAACCAAGTAGTAGCAACTCTACTGACTCTCAGGCACAACCAAAGAGAGATGAGACACGAGCACCTGCTCACCCGTGACCGACTACAGTTAGAAGGGACGCTGGGTGCCATATAACTAGGTAAGACGTATTCAGCTACAACTGTAATATACTGGTGCAGGTCAGGTGTGGACTAAGGTAAGAGCTGAGAGCTGCAGACACAGGAGTCTGCACCCGCTTGCAGGCTCTTCTCTGTGGATCACAGTCCCCTGCTCATGAGAAAGATGGTGGGAAGAGCAGGAGATGGGTAAGTGTCTGTTTGTTTAAGTTACGCTCTTCAAGTATTCTGTAGCTTATAATGAAATTTCATATGTACTATCTGCTTATCAGCAGAGAATGTGCAAGACTCAAAGACTACAGGAGTGAAGACCAACACCAAATTCACATTTGAATTTGGGAGAAATTGAAAGATATCAATCACTATTCATCTAAAGAAGGCAATTATAGTATGCAAAAGTAGTATTCCATAAACCACAAGACAAAATTATTTTTATTATAAAAAAGAACATATGTTTTGCACATGAAGCATGAGAATGGACACAACCAGTGGAATTTACTATGCTGGGTTGAAGTGAATACTTACTGCTTTCTTGATGAATTTCTGATACTTTCATTCCTTCGTTTACACCTTCATTTGGAAACGTTATTTACAACAACACACTGGTAAGTAGAGCCCATGGTTGTGCAGTGATTTTGGTGATGCCTTTTAGAGCATCCCATCCAGCATAAGAGCACTGTAAGAGTGCCATGAGGCCACCAGTGCTATCACCTTGATTTAGGAAATCAGGGGTTTTTTTGCTGTTAGTAGGAAAACAGAGAAAGAAAGTCTCTTCCATCTGCCTACTAATTCAATTCAATTCAACAGATACTCATTTTATTTCCATGGTACTAGATGTGCAAGACATGGGCAGGCATTTTCATAGAAAAAAGAATATTGTGCTCACTTACTAATTTGACCCGATGACCAGGAGTGGCACTGATCTCCCACGTGCACTCCTTCCTGCTTGGGTACTTGTCCGGCCAGTTGGGACTAGTGATGAAGCCACTCGGACTGTGGATCTTCTGTTCGCACTCAGCTGTGCCAATGACGGTAATATCAGTTAGTGTGGAAATCTAGCCCAGGGTTGGGCCAGCAAGGAAGCAGCCTATTTATCCACTATCCTGCTGAAAGAGTTTCCTGAATAACCAATCATCACTCTAGTCTCCATGATCATATTCATCTGCTTTGGCAAACATGTTTCAGTGCATAATCATAATCATAATCATAATCAGGCAATGTTTGTTTTCTGGTTCACATGAAATTAAGTGTTTACAATGAATTAGATAAATGCCTACAAGAAAATGAACTATTTTTAACTGCTGGATCTGTAAGCTCAAATTTTAAAGGAGAAACATTATCAAAAATCAAGGACATCAACCCTTGGTATGTGCAAAACATTTAATGCAATGTCACAACAAAAATCAATGGACTATGTCATTTTCAATTCTTTTTGTTTCTATTAACAGAGACATCATTTATAGCTAATTAGAATCATTAAGCCACTTTATGAAACATGTCTTTACATTTACTCTCTCCCTTTGTTAAAGTATATACTTGAGTATTTAAACCTGCTAAAGTAAATTCTGTAATTTCATGAAAGTGCAGTGAAGCACGAAGGGAAAAAATTAGTGAACAGCTACTATCTTCTGACTTAATTTCAAAGAGTGTCTCATTCAATGAACGTGAAATTTCTTTTAGGTTTTACACAATTTAAATAACTTCATCTTGGACGGTCCATTTCATATATTAAACTTCAAAAGCATGTAATATCTTCAGATTTTCGATATTCTATACATATATACTCTATATATATTTCCATATAATTTATGAAGCATCACTCTGCACATCCTGGTTTAGACTGAGAATTCTTTGTTTTGCATTGTGTATCCCATTCTAAAATGCAATTAATTCTCTGAAATTTTCCAGCAATACAGTAGCCTTAAAATTTGGCTACTGTCTTGACAAGGGTTTTCTAAATTCCATTATCCCTGTCCTTGCCTTGTCTATATGAAATGCGGAGTCTCCCAGATCTGGCCTAGACAAAGCCAAAGGGCTCACCACTAAACTGTAGAAGGCGCCTATACTACAGCAGAGGTGAAAGAAAATCCAGCCCTTTTACTGGCAGTAAAAATAAACTTTATTAGGGGTGCCTGAATGTAGCTCTGTTTAAAAGGAAATCTATGAGATCCTTTCTTGAAAATATTTGCTATGATGAACAGAGGCTGGATATCTAAATTTATTTGCTACATGTGAGTCATAGGCTATATACATACTCTGCAAAGACTGTCTCATTTTTTTTCTTCTGAATTACTTTCCATACCTCAAAATATCTGGGCCTATTCCCCAGCCTGTTGATTTAACAGAATACCTTATGAAGAATCCTCATCGGTTTATACTCATATATGAAAGTAAAAAGAGAAAAAACCTTCTTGTATATGATTCTGGGCAATGTTATTAACTCAATGAGAAAAAAGAGAGAAAAAAAAAAACCCAACATGTGACCATATTGGAATGGAACTGAATGGAGCAGGGGTCAATTCAGGGTGTGCTGTACTACTGGGATGTGTGTACAAAGAGTCGTGACCCAGCTGTGGTTCTAGTCTACTCTACTCATGCTAGTGACTAGTTACAAAATCTGCCTGAGTAATACATCCAAGCTAAATAGAAAATTCAGGAGCAGACCCACAAGGGAAGAAATAAGTCCTGAATATATATTTCTTGTTCCATGTATTATGGGCAGAAAGTAAGATAATTATCTTTATAAAACCTTGGAATATTATAAAGCGTTGGGACCCCAAACTGGTGGGCTACTATTGTGCTATTAGGTGCTTGTTCGTGTGTGTGGGCCCGAGTGGGGGGCAGGGGGAGACAGGGTAAAACCAGGACTTAAAATTTCAAATGGCACAGCATCTACCATTTTCAAATGTCTTTCTTCTGGTAGGCATTTGAGTTTGATACTCCTGGTATTTAAAGTGACATCACTCATGTAACACATATATGAGATATTTTGGGGAGGAAAATTAAACCAAAGGCAAAACATTCAGCAGAAGTTAAGTTTAAATATGGAGATAATTATCAGGTTGGGCAATGAAGATGGAGGCATGATGCTTTTCTGGCTGACAGATGGCATCGCAGCAGCTTCCACGTCTGTTATACAAAGTTATTCTAATACCACCCATGCGGGAAGTGCAGCACCTTTAGGTAACATGAGACTTCCAATCATATACCTTGGGCCTTTGCACACTGCATGATTTTTTTTTTGGATATGTCAACCGTCAACAATGATATCATTCATTGATATGATTAACTCTACCTGGAAGCAGTGCTTTAACCAAACTGCATGGAATTCTAGATGTTGTCCAAAAAAAGAACACTTCTTTCCTACCTTCCTTGCAATCATGTTTATTTTCATGCAGCACGAATCCATTACGGCACTGACACATGTAGCTTCCCATTGTGTTGACACACTCATGTTGACACCCGCCATTATCCTTAGAGCACTCATCTTTGTCTAGCAAAGAGATAACGCCATAGATTAGTAAGTAGCTTTAAAAACAAAAGATGTCAAAGGAGACTCATTTAGTTTTGGTTAACACTGGCAAAGGGTAAGCTTAGTCACAGCTTTCCCTTTTCCAAAATAAAACACCCCACCCCCCCAAAAAAAGTATCGTGTCTTAGTTCTACCCACTCCTTGTTTAGCTTGGAGCCTTGTGCCATGAATTGATTTTCCAAGATCATTTGCACTAGGATGACAGCATGTAGTCTTCACTCTTATGCTGGAAAAGTTTTGAGTAGGACAGAGGAAATGAAAGAATATTTTCCCAAATACTTCTAACCACTTATTGCCAATTTTTAAAAATAAATTAAAAATTGTGAGTAGTCTGAATAAACACAAGAAACGGCATTTAAGTGGAGGGAAATCTTTCACTATATTAACCATGGCATATAGACAGACGCTAAACAAGGTTCCAAGATCTATGTGTAACCACTTTTAAAAAAATCACTCAGTATAAATACTGTAGTTGATTTTTTTCATTAACTTTGCATTTATGCTTAGCATTAATGAATCTGGGCATTTTATAATATACCAAGACAGAAAAAGGCATCATTAGACTATCCTAAAGAAGAAACCTAATTTATATATTTTAAACTAATCTACTCTAGCAGACCAGTTTATTAATAAGTAATTCCCTAAAAGAGCTTTTAGTGTGCTAGCAGTAAAAGTTAGAATAGGATAAAAGAGCTTTAAGAAATAGCCAACAAATTCACTGCAGGGAAAAAAAAAGCCCCACTATATTAGCAGGCAGTCAATCAGTGAGAGACATCAGTCACCATATTATGTCACTCAACTGTCATTCCATGACTGGCTTGTCCATTAAAGTCAAATCTGGCCTCTGCTCCTGACACAGACATATGATGACACATCACTCAGACCTTCATCACTCCCACAGCACAGAGAACAAAAAGGACACATGGCAGTCACATCAGAGGTTAGGCTGAATTCAAAATTTACAGTCAACTGATTTTTCTAGCTAGAATTTGTGAGCTCATGGTGGGACACAAATAGCAAATTCTATTTTTGCTTTTTTGGTAAATCAATATTCCCTCTATGGAGATAAGTTTAAGAAAGACATTTTTTTAAAAATCCAAGAATCTGATAGGAATTTTAAAGGATGCAAGTGTTTTTTCCATTTTGGAGACATAACATGACAGAGCTCATAATTCTTCTGGAATATATTGATGCACTGGCAATATCAAAATATTCCAAATATGTACAGGCAGTCCCAAAGCTCTAAAGAACATATCAGCATCAATATATCTGCAATTGGTTTGTTCTCACCTGCCCTCAACACTTCCATCACATTCTTAATACTTAATATGGAGACTAAACAAAACAAACAAACCAAAAACCAAAAAAAAACCAAAAAATAAAAACAAAACAAGCATAGATAAAATAAAATTATTTTATAGAGAATTTTAAATTAATTTTAGAGAAATTTATAGTAATTAGGAAGTCTCATTACCATAAATGTATCAACAGTGAAAATTATAGACGGTGAGCTGTGAATGACTTTTGCAGAATGGGTGACTGATGAACACCACTTCCTACTACCATGCTGTCAGCTACTTCCATTTCCTAATTCAGACAGTCAAGCAGTACATGATTCAAATGTATTATTTCATTGCACCTTTCCAGAGGCTCTTTACTTAATATGCTTTGGAAACATATTTCCTCATGAGTTGATATAGAAATATTCTTCATCATTATTAAATGAAAGAGCCAATTAAAAAATTTCTGGTGCTAGAATTTCTTACCCCAAAATAGACACATATTTCTAGGCAAATGTTTATATAATGATTGTTTGGTGAACTCAAAACCTGATATAGTGAACTTTAGTTGTACTATAGGTCAACCAGATATCTGAGAACTGGTTGGAAATCTAAGAATTGTAAGCAAACTAGTTTAGAGAAGGTGAGTTCACATTTGCTGTGGACTAATAAACAGGTTACTCAGTGACAGACCTATTAGGGCAGCGACGGTCTGAGTCACCCTTTTGTTTGGATCTGTTTACACTGCTGTACATGAGCGCTATAAAAACGTTAAAGAAAAACATGAACATAAGTTAATATTGCTGATTTTTAAAATCTGTAGTCATTTTATAATGCAAATTCCAAAACCTAAAATATTTCTAACATTTAAACTTCATTTTAGCAGAAATCTCAAGTTACCAGGTTATGTTTCTAAGAATAATTATTTTCTTTGGATTTGATAGAACATAATCTGACTAGTGGTAACGGTAAATAAAGTGAAATAAAGTTGAACATGAAGCCATTCATACTTGAATAGTAGTTTTTTTTGTAGCCAATTATTCATCCTTCTATTGTGTTGGAAAAATAATACTTTAAAAATAACTTTCAGAGGAAGAACAAGAAAATGAGGAGGAGGAGGAGAAGGAAGATTTTTATATAGTCATTATTGTCTAAGAGTCTATGATTTTTCAGTTTCACAGTTGATTAACGTTTCCTGTCTTCATTCCTACATCTAACGTTACCTAATATAATCAATGTCAAATGAAATTTGAGAATTATTAAATACACTGCTAGACTATATGCATAGGCTAGTTGAAAGCTTAGCTAAAATTCAAAATTGGGCAAGTCAAAACAGTAACTAGAAGCAGAAAAGTCATCATGCCCAGGTAAAGTAGCAAGTAAAACTGTGCCTGCATGTGCCAAGTAGTCAATATGAAAAGAGAAAATTTCAGTAAACATTGAAATACTTGAAATTATGCAGACTTTTTACATCATGCAGACAAAGAAAGCTATTTATTTAACTTAATATTTTAAGTTGTCTAGGGAGTAGTGAATGCAGTGTGGTTATTTTAAAATACATGCTTGGATAAAGGTTAAAAAAAACTATTCTAATTAAAGTGAATGCAATTTCAGATTATCTATGTTGATGAGAAATAGCAAGATCGTAAAAGATGAATTCTACAAATATATTCTGGACTTGTTATTATGAAAGGTCATCACACTTGGGAAAAAATTATAGCAAACATGATTGCTTTCACTTTCTTTCCTTTTCTCCTCTTAGGACACAAACTACAAATATTTTGAACAATGAAAATCCAAAGAAAGAGAGAAGGAAGGAGGATGAAGAGTTACAAAATTTTCTCAGAATGTCTGCATAAATAACTCAACAATTGAGAATTCTATCAATGATTCATTTGAAATTTTCTAGCATTTTCATACTGTGGGCATGGATTTTTAAAAATAGATTTTATTAGTAAGAGAAACAAATGTTTTATTGAGTAGAAATAAAAACATTTAATTTTTGCAGATGGAAATTAGCCTCCTTCTTTGGAATGGACATATCTGATTTCCATTCCTTCATGTGAGATGAAGGAAAGGTCCATTATTAGGGGAAAAGGAGGTGGCATTTTCCCATCAGAGGCCTGCAGAGGATCTCTGAGGCTATCAGAGGCCATCAGTCTATGAATAATACATACTGGACAGAACTGAAGTGGCAACCTGTATCAAGTTCTTGCAAGATTCAAAAATAAAAATTTTCTCTTTGCAGTAAGCTTCCTTGTCTGTAGGAAAAAGAAGTAAAGGTTCCATGCACCGGAACAGAAACATTTATGAACAGACATACATATAATAAATGTTCAAATATAAAATAAACAGACCACGCACCGCCATGCACACACACTTACGCCCCATGCATGTGAGCATGCATACAAGGTTTCAACCCAAAGCTGTTGAAAAAATAACCTTCCAAAGGGCGCTGATAAGCTCTACTGAATGTTATGACACAGACAATTTGCTCTTTCCAAAATACGCAAATATTTAAGTATCATTAATCATGAAACTTGGAACAGGATTCAGAATCATAGGAGAGTTTTAATTGTGTTACTGTTTGAAATTAATCACACTAATATTTAAAGTTTTGTTAAAATAATATCAAGTTGAGCTAAAAACATCCATGTCCATTCCATGAGAGAAATGGCGTACAGGGGGAGCAACGTAAGAAATGTCTGTAAATAATGAAAGGTGGGTAAGACGAGGAGGAGGTCAGCTGAAACCACCTGAATTTCAAGGTAAAAAAAAACTGCACAAATGATTTTAACTGACTTCTGTATTTGTTACAGACAGAAATTAACTGGGAGTCAAGAAATCTGGGTTTTACTGCATTTCTGTGACTGCACCAGTCCCTGGGTCCATCAGGGAAAGATCACATTACCGTTAAGTCACCCGTGAGGGAGACTGTCATTAAAGAGGTTTATCCTTCAAATCCTCTTTTCTGTCAACTGCAGAAGTCATCACTGAGGCCACCACCATGGGGCTGCCTCAAGGTGGACCGTCTATGCACAGTTCTCACTGCCTGAAGTCATCTGTCACATTATTCCCAAATAATGAACACTGCAGTTCGATTGTTCCACGAACGAGAAGTTTCCCAAATGCTGCTGGTTTTACATATGTAAAATCCTACTAGTATTCCTTTAAGTTTAACCCATTTTAAGAAAAATAAGTTTGTTCTGAGTAGAATACAGTTAACTTTGTTTAATCACTTAAAATTACTAAACTATATCATGTATACCTGTGAAGATTTGCATACTTGTGTTCAAATAGAACATCATATAAAATGAAGTTTGGCTTGATTATCATATAATTATTGTTAATCTAAAAACTAACTTCCTTCAGTCAAAGAAAATAACAGTAATATATTGTTGGACCACATATCTTTTAGAAGATGCTATGCCATTATGTTCTAAATTACCTACTAAGTTTGACATATAATTTTGTATCATGTCCAAATAGCTTTATTTACTTTGATGTCCTAATCTCCTTATTTGCTTTGATATTATTTCATTATATTGCTTTATAAATACACTCTTAGAATCAGAACTACATGATGCTGACTCATGTAGAGGAGCTGTGGATTTTCTGCTGTATAAACCAATAACTTCTAGATTTTAAGCTATAGCACTTTTCATGATTAATCTAAGATATTAAATAAGAATTTATATGTGATATTTTCTTACTTTGATGAACATGGAAGTGACAGAAATTGATATTAATTATTCTCCTAATAAGTTCTGAGAGTCATTCTTCCAATTCCTTTTCTTAGGTCTATAAAGTACTTATTTAAATTCAGAGGCTATGTGCAAAAGTAACTAAAATCTCAATATGATTATTTCATTAAGTAATTATATTTTTAAAAATAATGCTATTGTTTGTTTCACTGTATTCATTAAAAATCTAAATATATTTCCTTGTGTTTTTTTTCTTCCTTGATGCATCACTTAACTGCAAAAAATCTAGAATTTATTTTTACGTAGTTTTTCTTTCCAAGTAATATGGAATCATCTATAATAAATACTATTTTTTAATTGAACTTCTTGATAATAATTCTTGGAAGAAGTATGTAGAAAAATAGTTAAATGTTATTTTTCTCATTATGTTTTCATATATTCACAACCACTTCTAAAATTTTTAGAACATTGGTTGCAAACAGAGCCACTTAAGAGTAAGTCTCATAAAATATTTCTGGATTACCACACACAATCTAGCAAACACTTACCAAATTTTCTGTAAGATATTATAAACTAACTATAAAAATAAAAATTATAAAATTTAACTCAATTCAAAACACTTGTATTAATATTTATTAATTAATAAATAGATACATTTAAAAATTTCTTCATTCTCAGAGATCAAAGTCTATTAGGTAATGTTTTCAAATCTAGAAAATATTTGGGTAACAGGTGGAAATATGATATGTTTTTCTTCTAAAGATATTTTTATATTTAAATTAGATGAAAACTGAGAAAACTGGAGAAAAACTACACTGCACTCTCTTTCCACCTTACACAAACATTCTTGGTATTGTTATATAGCAACTTTCAGATCTGCCCCCCTCCACATGCTTAGCTGAATGCACAATGCACAGATAACTTTATACCTGGATTTTCATTAATATTTTACCATATACTACATTTTTACACCATGAAATCATTAAATCATCTTTATGGTGTGAAGGGTCCACACAGTGAATTTGAATGTTGTTTCAAATTTCTGTCACTCTCATAGTGTATTGAAAATCTTTCTTTCAGATTTTGAAATATTTCTTTATAAAAGAGTTCCAAGAATGGAATTTCTGAGGCAAATAGAACAGTCATTGTAATAACTCTTAATTCCTATGCTAAATTTATTTCTAAAGAGTTTGTCACAATAAACCCAGTAATGTGTTTTACCAATTCCCCTGAGTGAATTTTAACATAAAACATCCTGCAATTTTGTTTGTGAAATATTCCCATGATGTACATGCCTACTTCCCAATAAATATGATGAATTATTTGACTTTTAACACATGATTACATATTATACTTAAAGCATTATTAGAGCTCTAAAATAATATTTTCTTTTATTTTTTTCTAAAATAGTATTTTCAATGTGAATAGAACCTATACATTAAAATGGGCAATCTTTTGTAAATTATGATTTGATAAGATGATCACAATCAGTACATTCAATAACCTTGCCCTCTCTTTGTTGCACCACACCAGCTTTTCTTCACAAGTATTTTTATCTCCCCTTTTTCTGAGCAAACATCTTCCTCACTAACAGAAACTCCCAAGAGCTTAAATGTGAAGTAGATCTAATTACTTATCTGGGTCTACAGTATTTTAAATGTGAATCTGAAAAACTGCCAAGACTTTTCAATGAATCAAAAAGAAAACACTGGAAGTTTATACTTAATTATCTTGGACTTTACAAAATAACAATCTAATAAAGAAGTGAAAAGTGTATCTGTTGTTTTCCAGGTCCCAAATATGTCGAGTGTAACTTGTAACTAACACCATTTGCAAAGAGCATGATCAGCTCTTACGGTTAAAACAAACTAAGACAAACTGGGGTTTAAATGCTTTGTGACACTGAGCAGTTTACTTAATCTCTCAGTGGCTTCATCTGTCAAATGAATATAACAATAAGAATATTACAGCTTTACTTTGATTTGTTAAGGAGTTAATGTATACATAATACGTTCTCAGGATGACAGCTACAATAAGAGAGTTTAGAGGGTTAATTTCTCCTTGAACTTCATTGTTCAGTTTACTTAATTACATTTCAGTATTATTGTCTCAAAGACACAGACAAATAACCTGTCTCTGCAATTTGGAAATCTTTGCCTGAACAGAAATAGCAGAGAATGAATTTCAAATATTTTAGGTAACTTTAAATTTAACCATATTTTGTCACCAGTATACGTAGCATGCCTCTTTTTAAAATTAAATTAAATGAATAATTAAAAGATTCTAAGTATTACTATTATGATAAAATTTACTCACCTTATAATTTCAATTTTTAAAATAAGTATTTAGGTGCTTCTAAGATAAGAAGCCTTAACTCTAACCACTGGATCACCTAACATTTGTAAAATACATGAAATTTATAGAATATTGAAGTCTAAGAAAGTCTTTCTTTCACTGAAATAGAATATTAAAATTCTACTTGAAATAATAAATCTTAAATGAATGTCTGAGAATAATTTTTACTTTTTGTTTTTATTTTTTATTATTTACCTACTTTATTTTTATTGAAGTATAGTTGATCTACAATGCTATGTTATTTGAAGTGCACAACATTGTGCCTCAATATTTTTATAGACTGGCTATACTCCCCCTGCTGCACATTACATTCTTGTAGCTTATTTATTTTATATATAGTAGTTTGTACCTCTCAGTCCCCTCCCCCTCACTGGTCCCTCCCCCTTCTCTCTCCCCACTGATAACCACTAGTTTGTTTACTATATCTGAGAATTTTTAAAAGACAATTAAACCTGAGGGACGGAATGAGAACAAGGGAGCCAAAATTTATTGGATTTGGAATGTACTTTCATATATGACTTAGACCTCAGTGGAACTTGTGAACCATTAACTTCAATTACCCTGAACGCCCCAAACAAACCCTGCACATTGTAAATCTCATTAATTTTAAACGCATGGGGACTGGAATAAATGGACTTTGAATTAACTCAATCCAAACTACCTAATATTAAAACATAAATGGAATTCAGTTGCTTTAAATTGCTTGCCAGTGTGAAAGGCAGACAGATTGCTATACTAAGGCATATTATAATTTTATCTATTTTTGCAATTTCAGAATAATACTTTTTAGAGGCACAATTTTGAAATTGGGAAAATAAGGGAATTTCACTGATGTTTCTATCTATTTTCTTAGCATTTAGGGGCCTTGAAACAAATTTCACCTTTTTAAGAGGGAATTTTTACCGTGAGCTGGTTCAACTAAACATTAAATTCCAACAAACACATATCAACTGCTAACTATATCTGATAATATATTGTTTTCAGTAAAATTATAATTTTCATATTTCTAGGTTTCTTGTTGCAATTATTTCTATAGTGATGAGGTAAAGTATGATTTTAATAGCTACCTAACAAGAATGAAAATATGATAAGAAGAAGAATAAGAACCATGTTGATAAGCAGTAAGAATAAAAAATAGATTGCTAAAATGGGAACACATATTCCAAAAACAAAGAGAAATTATTTTGAAAAAGTCTGATATCACTATGCCCATCCTCTTCTAAAGAGTAAAGTCATTGTATGAAAATATTACCATAATAATTTTGTGTTATTTTTTACTAGCCTTTGAAATATTTGGCTAGAATTTATCTGACTCAGGTTTTTGAGAGCTGCATTTCATCAGGGACCTTATTATTAATATCCTAACTTTAAGTAGAAAATTGTCAAACTAGGATAAACGTTCATGCATTCTATGCACCTCAAGTTAATTTACAATAAAACCACAAAGAATTGACAGCACACAATTTAAGCCAATCCACCTTGAAAATCCATAATATACATGTGCAGCAGGAGAAAATCGATACCTGAGAAGAAATGTGCTTTGAAGCCCTTCTTGGATACGGTATTGTCAGATTTGAATTCAATTCTCATGTTGTTGATCTGGGATGTGATCACTTCGGGCACTTCAGCACCACAAAATTTGCCATGCAGTTTAGACTCAGAAGAAAGACCACTCCAAATCTCGACATAATCATATTTGCAAACCTAGAAACAAACATGGTTACTGTAATCACCAGATCTGAAAACATCAGATGATGGGCATTTATTTATGAAAAATTTATCACGTTTTTCTCTTTGTACTCCTGTGTTAGTCAAAGTGGGCTTAACAGGTAAAGACAAAAATCAAGAAAAGTGTCCAAATATGAAGCAGACAGCATGAGAGTATAGATCCAAGAGATGTGTATACAAATATATGCTTATATATGTGTATTTACAGCAGCCATCTTTTCCAAAAAATACAGAGTTAAGGAAAACTGAGATGAATATTTGTTTAACAATGCATATGACTGAACTCTGGGCATGATGTGTACTTTGCAGTATGTCAACTCAAATGACTGGTTCTGTGATATTGATCAGGTGATAAATAAACTAAATTTTGCCAGAAAAATGGAATACTTTTTCTTTCTACTTGGATAGGATAACGTTACCAAGACTGAAGTTGTTTGATATTTACTTTCCTTTTGGATGTCAATATAATGAATAAGACAATGATGTTATAACTTAACCCAGTATTCTGTAAGTCAAGATTTTGCTCATGCATTTACTTAAAAAAAAATAAAAAAACTAAGACTTCAAACTGTGAAAATACACAGAATTTTGTTAACAGCCTTCCACAGAGTAACCTCATAAGTGTAAGAATTCCAGGATACGTTACAGAGTTTGTACAGACTCCTTCCGTGAATAAAGACTGCTACCATGAGGAAAAGGCTTTCAAACACAATGCTCCACTTACTTAAAACCATCTAGCTTCCTTCCTCCTATATACAAACTTCTACCCTTCTTAGGAACATCTATCGATTAGTGAATCAAAAAGTCATTTCTGGATTTCCAGTCAAGATGGCAGAGTACTAGGACCATGAGCTTGCCTCTCCTCGTGACTACAACAAAACCACAACTGCCTG